CGTGATTGATCAGCTTAGTAGCAGTGACGAGTGTGTGCTGAGAGCAGCAAGCTTGATGGAGCGAGTGTCCAGTTCTGTAAAGGAGCTCCAGATGGAAACTTTAGTTTTGTGTTAACCTTATTATGATTAAAGTTATTGCATGTCCACCGGTTCCCGCCTCTGAATGAGAAAGTTTTAGCTATGCTAGTACATTAAAATAGCATTCATAAAAAACAAAGCAGAGCAATACAAACAGCACAGAGATGTATAAATGCACAACTACGCACAAGGCACACACCATGGGTAACATCGATCCCTCAACCTAGCCCTCACAGTGACATCACTAGCTCTATTGAGTGCATGTTTCTGAAAGCGCATGTCTGAGAGTGCATGTGTAAGTCTGCAGCCATACACTATTGGAAGACTTTAATCTTTAGTTTCATGATCACTTATTTCTTACGTACAATAGTCTTAAAGCAATTTCCACTGTACTTTTCATGATACATGTTACAAACACACCTAACCAAAGTTCAACTATACTGTGTACTTTGCATTAGTAAACACTTTCTAATGTAGCTTCTCCAGTTCTTTTTGCATATCTATTTGTCTATAAGCTTCCATGGCTCCAGCAAAACTGACAGAACTAAACTATAATAAAGACTTGGTTCATAAGCAAGCACTGCCATCATCAAGTTGGTCAAGCTTCAGCGTTCCCCACCAAACCTCTCACTGAGTTTTATGGATTCAATTCCAGGTGCAGATATTTAGCTGTATTTCACTGCGAGCGTCGGCCCTCATCCATCCACTTGCTCAAACACCGGCTAAGGCATTTCTGATGGAAGTTGTGTGAAATCAATTTAGTATGATATCCATATTCATGAGTACCTCTCTCTCTCCAGCTAAAGAGAGATGGGAGAGCTCTCACCAACTTCACAAAGGCTTCAACCAGTGAAATCCTTATGATATACATTTCATTTCAGCCAGACGCTGTTATTTACTGTGAAGCCTGATTTATACTTCTGCGCCAAGTGATCGTCGTACCCCGCGGCATATACCTTGCATGTCATCAACGTCATTGTGAGCATTTATACATCTGCATTTTGTTTGCATTGCTCTGGCAATAACGCTTATGAAACACTAGTAGGCAACATTGTTTCTATGTTCCAGTGTCTTTGGCAGTGTTTTGAGCAGTGTTAATAAAAGCTACTTTTGAAAGTAGTGCGTTACAATATTGAGTTACTCCCCCCTCCAAAACAAGTAACTAATTGCCATTCTTAGTTACTTTTTGTGTAAAGTAATGAATTTTATTACTTTTAAGTTTCTTTTGAGTTATTTTTCCTTACCTGGCTGAGGTTTGATCTTTTTTCAAAACTTGCAGGTGTTTTTCAGCTTTGTTTATAGGGAAGCTCTGCAATAAACAACCACCTATAGAACCTACACTTTCATTTTCCTTCAAAAAATGTAGGATCAAATTATATTTTGGGAACTTTATTGAGCCCAGAGCTACACATGCTGTACATACAGATTAATCAAAGCATGTAAAGTAATGTGTTTGCTACTTTTGAATGTTCTGTGTAATAAAGTAAATTCACTGTCCATTGAGAAAAAGATTGCAATAAAGCCTAGGAGTACTAACATGAAATAATTTATATTCATGCAAAAACAGATTTTAAACCTTTAAAATGTTTAATAACAAAATAAACAGCAAGACGATAAAAACATCCCCACATCAAAATAAATCTTTGAGCTTCTTACATTGAATAAATTGCTTCACGTGGCCTTAACAAGTGTGAAAATTGCTTTACAAATGAGAAAATATTGAAAATATATTACAAAACGTAGTCGCTTCTACAGTAATGTTAGACAGTGGCTGCACCTCCTTAATAATAAAAAATAATGTCAAACATCAAAGCTGAAGGTGGGATGCGGGTGTAGTGCTTCCCATCATTTTTCATGAGGTCTTGTTTTTTGCAGTGGTCTAGAGTTTTACTTATACATAATCTACACTTAACAACAATCCACTTCTTTCCCTCGATGAGTTCAAAATAAGAATCCATTGTAAAAATGTAAGTCTCTGGCCTACCATTGTTTCTGTTTCTGCCTGTAGTGATGACGGGTGATTCTCGAATGAATCGCTTGTTTTAACTGGATTTTCTAAGTGAACAGGTCAAACCTGTTCATTAAATTCATTCGTGAAATGGTTTCGTCTTTGGTAAGTACTAACTTACGGGATACCACCTCTGACTCAAAAATAAACCAATATTAGTTAGTAGAACAATTAGTCAATTAGTAGGCTCAGTTAGTGGAACAGTAAACTGACTCATCTGCAGTGAAAAAAAGAGACCTGATGATGACGATGAATGCGAGGCGACTGTCTGTTCCCTCGCAGCACACTCAATCATTGAGAGTGTGATTTAACCTGACTAAGGTCATCTTTATTATGTAATATATTTTGTAAAAGCCAATAAGGCAAGGTAAAAAGTAACTAAAATAATATTACTTATTTTTAAAAGTAATGCATTATATTACTCGTTACTTTGGAAAAGTAATATTATTACTTAACTCGCTTTACTTAGAATGTGTTACCCCCAACACTGGTTTTGACTTTATACCAGAAATGAGTATGATGCTACTGTAGAGGTCGCTCAAACTCATTGAGAAGAGAAAGAGGCATGTGCAAATGAATGTTTGGCAACTTTAATCATAAAGTAAACACAAATCAAATTTATCCATTCAGAGCTCCTCTGCACTCACACCATCGGCCTTGCGCTGCTCCCATGGCTCTTGGCTCCACCCGCACTCGTCACCACTACCAAGCCAACTTATCACAAATCTATAGCTCCGCGTCACCATAAATTAGGAATGGGCCAATAAACTATAATTTATATAATATCGAATCATCCAAAAATTTCAGTCAATAACAATGATAAGCTCTGGACTTATTCATTATGTTGGCTTGAGAAAGCCAACATACTGTTATACTACTCTGTCCTTGAAAACAAACGTATCTCCTCCTAGGCCGTTCATGCCACAAGGCCCAAATGTGGTCAAAATGTGCCTTCTGCATTCAAGATTGTTGCTATATCTCCTCATGCCTGTAAGACTTATCATTTTTCTTATAAAAAAAAATGTTAAATATTAAATTTTATAATCGGGGCATATAAAAAAATTATACAAGCCCCAAATTTGACCAAAAGCTGTATTAAGATGAGGTAGATTTTGTTGCTATATCTTTAAGGTTTATCAGACTTATAGTTTTCCAATAAATAATTTTTAAGCATTATTTTTTTCAAAATATGTTGACTTAAACTCCATATTTTTTACTGATATGGCAAGCCATTTTTGACTTAAACTCCATATTTTTTACTGATATGGCAAGCCATTTTTGCATGTATCACATTCACTTATTAGGCATTTTAATTTCAAAAAAATACAGCGAGCCATTTTTACATAATGTTCATTCCCTTAGTCCCTTTATTATTCAGGGGTCGCCACAACAGAATGAACTACCAACTTATCCAGCATTTGTTTTACACAGCGAATGCCCTTCCAGCCGCAACAAACACCAGGAATACATAATGTTCAAGTCCAGTTTTTGACACTCATAAAGACTGTCATAGAAACATCGGGGTTGATTTAGATCACTTATATTGCCAAGAAGCTTTGATTTATCATCACTAACCTGTCAAATGTCCCCATAGCAATAAAACAGTATAACCTAGCAACCATTTAAAAATAGCATTATCTCTAAATCAGAACATCGTAGGGACCTGGGCATTGGCTTGTTTCACTCATGCTAGCAAATGGGACTTCCTGTGTACTATGCATGGTAACAATGATAATGGAAGCCAAGTGCTAATAATGATTAGCTACATGCTATGAATGATTATCTAAATGCAATAACATATGCTAGAAATGCCTACTAAGTATTAGCATTTGATCAAACATGTACACGAGCATTGCCATTTAGCAACTGCTTAGCAACCACCTAACAATGCCATAAACGTTTGACTTTCTCAAGCCAACATCAAAGTTTTTCAATGAACTTTAGATTCTAGTTTTTTTATTGATCTAAGAACCAATCACACAGCAGAAATGTGCAGAGATAATAGAGATGCACAGAATTTTCAGCCATCGACAAATTAATTGGCCCAAAATGTTATGCCATTTAATGGACCATCTAATTTTTGTGGTTTCAGTCATTGTTGGGGTACTCTTTTAAATCTGGAAGCATCAACAACTTATATCGAAATATATATATATATATATATATATATATATATATATATATATATATATATATATATATATATATATATATATATATATATATATATATATATCGTTATTGTTTAATATGGAAAATAATTACCGAGATTATCAAGCCCTATCGAGAATAGAGTTGTGCATCAGGGTCTATGTGAGGGTATGGCATCGCATATGCAATACGATGAGTGCACTCAACACAGAAGTACAAACTGGCCTTTACTTATTATGAGGGGTTTTAGATGGGATCAATGCATTAAATGGGATGTATCATGGAAATAGTACTTTTTTTTTTGTTGTTTACATGTTTATAATCAGGTCCCTGGTGCATCTACTGACCCAAATAACTTAAAAAAGGACATACCAGTAACTATTTTTGGCAAATGGTTTTCTGCAATCATGTTAAAACAGTTGAAGTGCAGTTCAGATTTCACTCCCCTATCGTCACTTAGTAAAATAATCGTACGTCACATTCCTTAATCTGCAACTGTCTACCCACAGCCAGTTCTGTTTACTTCATTTATCAGATGGAGATTTACAACACCCACTGTTTTATCATTTAACATTCTGTTTCTCTAGAAACTGCATCACAATACAAAAAAATAAATGGTTGCAGCTTCCGATTGATATAGACTTTAAAGTCGAAATCAAAGCAAATGACTAAAACCAATTTGTCGAGAAACTAAGATTTGTTGATACACGTGATGAACATTTAAAAAGATGAAGACCTGCAGAGTTGTAGACTTAAATTGTACCTGTGAGGTTCTTAAGGCCAAGCTGACGGAGGCCAAAGTTTCCGTCTCTGCGGTAGTTGAGGAAGATTGCCAGAGCATATCGGTCTTCATACAGCCTGGTGCCACGGATGATGCGAAGATTCTCCAGGGGAAGATATTCAAACTGATTCAGTGCCACGAGCACATAGCCAGTCACCTCACGAATGGACTGCACACAGAATAAAAGGACAATCATTAATCAACATATATATATAAATGAAAAGTAATTAAATACATTTACTACCAATTTAAAATTTAAACCTAATACCTGCATTATGAGAAAACATCAAAGCAATGCATGTAAATAATTCTGACTAAATATATATTTTTTTCTTTTAACAATGAAATTGATTTTCGTCTACTTGTTAAACAGTAGCCCCTTTCACACAGTGATACCGGTAACTTTCCTGTAAATTTCCGGAACGACTTTACTGGTAAATTCAAAAAAACGCTTTTCACACAGGCAAGGACGTTCTGGAATTTTTCTGCAAAACACCATTCACACATCTAAAATACCATTAAATTCTGACATCATTAACCAGAAATAACCTTTGATCGTCTGCACTTCTATTGGTAAACAAAAAAGGGAGTCTGGCTTTTGTTGATAGTTTCACTTTTATTTAAAGCTTTAGTATTCATGCAGCTGCTTTGTACACTTAAGTTTAACAACAATATCCATCCATCCTGCAATATGGTGAGCAGCAGCAGATATCAGTTCAGCTAGTTAGTCAGACTTTGTTATCTTGCCAGACTTCTTGTTAAAAAGAACAGGATCCCTCCCACAGGATTCAGCTGAAATGTGTTGGTGTCTCAATAATAGAGATGGCCATGTTGTCCCAAAGACATCCAAGGGCAGAATCGCTAACCACAGCTAAATGTTTACACATTACAAAATATTAGGATAGATAAGTATTATGAACAACTTTGATGAAAATATTTGGAGGAACACTTTTGCATGTCGAGATGTACATAATATGTGTGTGTGTGTGTGTGGCCGCTCACCATAGCACTCCTTCATGTGCACACACATCAAGCAACTAATTCAGAGCTTGAAGGTAAACAAACAGCAGTTTATCATATGCATTTTATCACAAATTTTTTAAACAGTTGGCATTAATATTGTACAGACATTTTATCTGACTAACATCTAGCTGCTGAATGTGTCTGGAAAAATATTCAAAGGTTTTCATTTTTTTAAACAGCAGGGATGTAAATGCGGCTGAATATTTTGACTGGGTAGAGTAGATGTTTTCACATTTAGAATGTACTCTTTCCGGCAATTTTTGTCGGAAAATTGCCAGGACGAATTTATTGGTATTTTCAAAAAGGGCCTGGTTACACATGATCTTTTTTTCGGATAATTGCCCAATAATTTTCCGGGAAGGTCTGTATGTGTGAAACAGGCTAGAGTTAATAGGCATTTTACAGTCGCAATACTTAAAAATAAATCAAAAAATTTTGATAATCCATTTGAGTATTAATAGACTGTCTGCTTAATATCTTTTGATACTGCTCCTTTAACGGACTATGAGAAACTTTGCAAGCACATATCAACTTACACTAACCCTAACCCAAACCCTAATCCCAACCTAACAGTCTACTTATAATCTAATGAAAATTAGTTGCCATGTAGATGCAGTGTAACTTAATAAAAAATGTCTGGGTTTTGCACACATAATTTACATTTTTGTAAATATTAATAAATGATATCTTAACACAGATATACAGGTATATTCATTTTTACAAGAAACTGGGAATAGGTTGATATGTAAATACTATTTTCTTCCAATTATGAGTTTACATCTTAAAATTCTCATAAAATATTTTGCATTCCATCAAAAAAAGTATTTGTTTTCTGTAGTTATAATTTCTTTCATTGTCAAACAAGGCTCTGATTCATCTGCTGGATGTAAGGATAACCATTTGTGTGGATGTTATGTAGTTACTTTGAAAGACCCATCCAACTGCATTAAGCTACATTATTTTCCTAATACAATTGTTTGTGTTCCACAGACTGAACCAATCGTACATGATTATTGGACAGCCCCCCTTTTAATCTCAATTTTACTTTAGTTCCAGACATTACACTTAAGTTTCACAACAATATCCATCCATTCTGCAATATGGTGAGCAGCAACAGATATCAGTTCAGCTAGTTAGTCAGACTCCGTTATCTTGCCAGACTTCTTGTTAAAAAGACGCCCTTCCCACAGGATTCAGCTGAAATGTGTTGGTGTCTTAATAATAGAGATGGCCATGATGTAAAGAAACGTGTAGCTTCACCTCAGGCCTCTCGGCTCATCATCCAGTCATTAGCTGAAGTGTTGGGAGTGGGCAGCGGTCTGGCCAACAGTAGGACACAATGAGCCAGAGGGGCTTTTCTCTCTCTTTGTCTTCTTCTCTCTCTAACTATCTCTCTTTCTCTACCGTCTACTAGACAGATAATGATCATGGGGATGACTCAAGCCCATCCAAGCACATCCGTGAGACCCTCGCCGTGACATACTGGTGCCGTCATTGTGCCTGTCATTAAGGCAGACACAGTTTCATTCATTCTGACAGAGCGCCTCCTGTGGTGAATGATGCCACTCACTGTGAGTCTGTGTGTGTGTACTGAGGGGCAGAATTAGCCCTGAGGAAACGCTAACATCGACGAGGGCTTTCGTTGACAGCCGTCAGTTAGCGTGAGTTTCATCTTAGGAACCATGCAGCGTGACAGGCCCGGTCCTGCCGCTGTCATCGTCCGCCATGTCCGGCTAATGGGCAGAGACGTGAGCTCTTTTTAGCAGCAGCGCTAGAAGGCCGGTTAAAGCCTCAGTCATTTATCTGGGCTAATGAACTGGTCTAATAGCTGCATGAAGCACGTCCTGCATGGGTATGTGGGGATCACTGATGTGCTCTGGGAGGATTGTGTCAAGTAGGGTTACAGGACTTCCAGTGAGAAGAAGTGGAGAGTGGAGCAGCAGGAAATAACATGGGTAAGACCATTTTTGCCAATGAATAAATATATATATATATATATATATATATATATATATATATATATATATATATATATATATGTGTGTGTGTGTGTGTGTGTGTGTGTGTGTGTATATATATATATATATATATATATATATATATACACAACTGCTCGTTAATGCAAGTTTCTAATCAGCCAATCACATGGCAGCAATTCAATGCATTTAGGCATGTAGACATGGTCAACAAGGTCTGCTGCAGTTTAAACCGAGCATCAGAATGAGAAAGAAAGGGGATTTAAGTGACTTTGATTGTGGCATGGTTATTGGTGCCAGACGGGCTGGTCTGAGTATTTCAGAAACTGCTGATCTACTGGGATTTTTATGCATAATCACCTCTAAGGTTTACAGGGAAGGGTTTGAAAAAGAGAAAATATCCAGTGAGCAGCAGTTCTGTGGGCGCAAATGCCTATTTATGCCTGTATGTATGTATGTATGTATATATATATATGAATATGAACATGTATAAACAATACACATGCAGTGCAATACACATTCACATTTGCTAATTGTGCAAATGTTTATTCAGCCCAAATTACATTTGTTACTATTTACTTATCTGTCATTCCAAACCCCTGAGACCTTCATTAATCTTTATAATCTTTAAACACAAATGAAGTCATTTTACATTAAATTTGAGAGCTCTCTCATCCTCTATAGATAGCCACAGTCATGAGATATTCAAAGTTCAGAAAGCGAAAACCAAAAACATTGTCATAACATTGCATGGCACTTCAATAGTTTAGTTGTAATCATACAAAGCTCTAAAAGACTTTTGCGTGCCAAAAAAGTAAATTAAAAAAAATAATCAGATTTTTCTATATATTCTCTCCTGCACCAGGTCGTCAGGGTGCACTTTTACTACAGGCAGTATGGTCTATTTCCAGTCAGCAACACAACACACAAGGGTTGTCTTGCCTGTAGTAAACACACACCCTGATCTGATATGGACAACATTGGTGACAAAAGTGTTCTTGGAGCTTCACGTTTACAGATCAACCATTGATTTGACATGGGATACTTTGACAATGTTTTTTGTTCATTTTCTGGACTTTGAATGTCTTGGGACTATGTATGTAGGATGAAAAAGCTCTCGGATTACATCTAAAATATCTTCATTTGTGTTCAGAAGATAAACGAAAGTCTCATGAAATCTGAATGACATGAGGATGAGTAATAATTAACAGTATCACACATTTCTCAATATATTGTGCATTTCATCTAAGAATGTATAATAAAACAATACTTTTAACTTTCTTTACTTATGTAATTGATTTATTTTATTGGTAAACGAGAAACAGCAAATATTCAAAAACCTGTTGCTCCACTACTCTCACATTCTCTGATCCTGTAATGGCATCCGAATCTGGATGGAAGCACGAACACTGGCTGAGCCTTTGACCTTGCTGTGGTCTCTCCATTTCCTCTTCCTCTCCTTACGGCCAACAAAAAGCCAATGCACTTGCCATATCCTGCCAACAACCCCCTCACCCCTGGACACTAGGAACCAAAACCCATCCCTGTTACCTAGCAACCTCTGGAACCTGCTGCTGTATTAAAGACATGAGAGAGAGAGAGACAGAGAGAGAAAGAGAGATAGAGAAACAGCAACATCTTTGTTGTACTTCTCCTAATTTAATTAAAGGATTACTTTGCAGAGATTTTCCACACTGCCTATTTGGCTTCCCCTGTTCACTTTCCAACACCATTTAATTCCTCTTTCTCAAACTAATTTGTTATTTTCAAGCCATTGGATCGATACTTCCCTGACTAGAGAAGAGAGGAATAGGACGGGGCACTCTTCTTTTTCTCCTTTTTTCCTGTTTGCTCAATAATGAAACATATAAATAAAGATAACACACTCTTGTGATTACAAGCACAATTTACAGCTAATGATGTGGCCTGAATAAGTAGCTCTTTCCACCTGTTGTTAAAAATAACACATCCAACCGGAGCTGCTAAAGAGATCAATGGATGCCCACAGTGAAGCTTCATTTTGTTTTACCTACTACAGTACTTTCAGCTCTGATGTAACAGCACACTTAGTGCTCCGGGGTCAAGCAGACTTGTTACTGTACCAAAAAATAAATAAATAATAAATAAATAAAATGGTAATGTTTGTGTGGGAATTATGTGTTCAGTTGTA